TGGTTCCCATCTACAAAGAAGATAGAAAGTAAAGCCTCAGTTTCTGGTTTTATACATAACTTCTGCATTCCTTGTGAGGGAATAAGACAAATGAATAAAGAGTTTTAAATAATTCCAGTTAGGGGCGCCTGGGTGACTCAGTAGGTTAAGCATCCAACCTAGGCTCAGGTCATGGTCTTGTGGTTCGTGAGTTCAAGCCCCACGCTGGGCTCAGTGCTGATTGCTCAGATCTGGAGCCTGCTTCAGATTCTGTGTCTCCCTCCCTCTCTGCTCCTCCCCTACTCGTGCTCTGCCTCTCGCTCTCAAAAATAAACATTAAAAAAATGTTTTTAATAATTTGAATTAATGCAATTTAAGTTACTGGGAGGGCAAATAAATCAGCAATAAACCTAAAACATCATTTCTCCAGTTTCTCATTTTAAAAAGAAAACGGCCTTTAAAGTTAAAATATCATAAATAAAAATCAACAAATAAGAAAATAGTCTTCAAGCTAATTTCAAAATAAGGATTGTACTAAAATGTTACCAGCTCATTAAAGAAATGGTATTTTCAATTTAGGTTAGCATTACTTAAAAGTACTGTTATATAATATAGTAAAATCTGACAACTACCTAAGCTTAAAACCCAAGAAATACAGGGGAAAAATGTACACGCCTAAATTCTCAAAACTAAAGAAGCACCAAGCAAACATACTCTTCAATACATTTAAACACAAGTTATGACACATCTGTTTTGAAATTTAAAAATTAATAATCTTGCATTTTAATGCCAATAGACAAATCATATAAACTAGTTTTTTTTTAATCTCTGAACACCAAAAATACATTTCTCTCTGACCCCTAACCTATGACCTTTCTCAGATTTGAACATACAGTAAAAGAAAAAAACACTTAAAAATCTCTGATTATTGTACACCAGGGAATGTTTTGTCTTTTAAAATTTGTGACAAACTCAAATGAGATAGAGAAGCAAAGGTCTCAAGAGATTAATGGTTAACATTTCAAATTTACTATGGACCATGAAGACTACTTATAAAATATGATTAAAAGCTAAAATAATGGTACTATTACTATGATGACAATAATGGTAATTTATTAAGTCCACTCGTGAGGCCAGAAACTAGCTAAACACTTTGCAGAATCCAATCTTTAAAACATTACAGGCAGGTATTATACCCTTTTTCCAAATGGGGAAAACTGAGGTACTGTGTTTAAAGGAGGTATCAAAAATTATAAAACTTAACAGAGTAAAGAACAAAACCCAGATTTGTCTGTGTTCAAAGCAAGTGTACTCACCCCATGTGCTATAATATAGGATTTATTGTATAATACTAATAGAAAGGAAGGATAGGAATTTAGATATCTCTATAGCTCTTTCTCAAAGGAGGTGTAAATAATAACTCTGTGGATGGGAAAAAAATTATAAATAACTATTCTTGCAACAAAGAAACAAGTATGCTAAGTCATATATATAGGAATATGCTTCATGATGAAATAGCATGCCCCAGTTTTAATAAAATATTTACACACATTCATATACAAAGAGACCAAAAATAAAGGGCAGTGGGTCATCCTGTGGTAGAGAAATAATAAAAACATAAAAACTCTCCACTGGGCTAGTTTTACCATATTTTTATTTTTTAATTTTTTTAATGTTTGTTTATTTTTGAGAGAGAGAAGTGAGGGAGGAACAGAGAGAGAGAGACAGAGAGACAGAGAGAGAGAGACAGAGAGAGACACAGAATCTGAAGCAGGGTGCAGGCTCTGAGCTGTCAGCACAGACACCGATGTGGGGCTCAAACTCATAAACCATGAGATCATGACCTAAAGTTTGATGCTTAACCAACTGAGCCACCCAGGCATCCCTACCATATTTTTTCAATACATTAAGATGTGCAACCTTGAGGACATTACGCTAAGTGAAATAAACCAGTAACAAAAATACAAATACTATATGATCCCAGTTACATGAGGTATTTAAGTAGTCAAGTTCACAGAATCAAAGTGGAATGGCAGTTATTAGGGGCTGTGGGGAAAATGGGGAGTTCTTAATGGGTATAGAGTTTCAGTTTTACAAAACGAAAGAGTTCTGTAGATGTGTTGCACAACGAATTGAATATACTTAACACTATTGAACTGTGTAACTTTAAAATGGTTAGGATGGGGAAAAATAAAGGTTTTGTAGTAATACATAAATAGATACATATCAATAGAATTAAAAATTAAAATTTTATTTCCTCAATCAGTAGCCACAGTTCAATCGCTCAACAGCTGTATGTAGCCATTCAAGACAGCATGGATACAACATTTTCTCACAAAAATTTCTGTGGATCACAGTATGCATACTGGATCACAGTATGCAGAAACAGACCCAAATTCATATGGGAATTTGTATTCAATACTGAATCTGTGTGATAAAGGTAGCACTTCAAATCAGTGGGGAAAGAATTATTGAGTAAATAGTATTGGGACGATTTGTGAGCCTGGGGGAGAACAAAGAAGAAGGGAATAAAGATAAAGCCATATCTTAACTCCTACTCAAAAGAAATTCTGGATGAATCAAAGATTTGTACTTAAAAAGTGAAATGATAAATGTATTAACACATAATTCTAATTAAGAAAGGCCTTCCCAAATAGAATGGAAAGCCAGAGCACAAACACTCAGAAGATCTTTTTAGGAAAATAAAAAACTTTATAAGAAGAAAGCCTAGACAACTGGAAAGGGGGGGGTGGAGGGGTGTGGTGTGTTCCATTTTCTCAATCAATTGAAAAACGTAACTCAGTTGAAAAAAGTAAACTGAAAGTACCAATATACATAGGAAAAAACTGCTCAATTTTACTTGCAATTTAAATATTCTATTAAAAATTACATTTTCAACCATCTAAGGGCAAAGATAATCTGTGTTAATGTTAAATAGGAACTAATGGATTTAAAAACTGATACAACTTATTCAGAGGGTCATTTTTAAATATGTAACAAAAATCAAAAGCAACAAACAATATTTATGGATAAAATGATACTGAGTCTAGAACTAAAATAACCTGAGGAAGGGGCACCTGGGTAGCTCCGTAGGTTAAATGTCTGACTCTTGATTTCAGTTCAAGTCATGATCTCATGGTTCATGAGTTTGAGCCCCATGTCAGGCTCTATGTTAACAGTGAGGAGCCTGCTTGGGATTCTCTCTCTCTCACTCTCGCTCTCTGCCCTTCCCTCCCATTCCCCACACATGCTCACTCTCTAAATAAATAAATAAACTTAAAAAAAAAAAAATAACCTGAGGTATAAAAAACCAGAGAAAGTTGGTTCAGATTTAAATAAGACTGGGTATACATTGATAGTAGGTGTACCAGAGTGGTGAGTATATGGGGGGGATTCATTTATTTTTTGTGTGTTTGAATTTTTCCAAAAAGTTTTTCATGTTATGCATAGCCTTTAAACCAGGAATTTCATTGTTAGGAATTTAGCCTACGGTTACATTATACAATGTAAGTACAAGAATGTTCTGGAAGAAAACTAAATTTCCATTACAGAATGGGTTGAGTAAATTATGTTTATCTACACATAGTAATAATGTCCTATACCTTTAAAAAGTATGGAGGTCAATTATGTGACGGAGATTACAGAAAAGGGGAAAAAACATCAAGGGCAGAACAATAGGCATAGTCTGATCACAATTAAGTAAAAACAAAATCAAGCACGTGGATCTGTGAACACCCATAAGATACATGTGCATATTCATAATAAATTTTTAGAAGGCTATGTCAAAAATCTTAATAATGGTTTCGTCTGGTTGGGCAGGAGACGAGGAACTAGAAATCTGTGAGGAGGGACACTTATTTTTCAAACATTTTTTATACTGTGATTTTTTGGGGGACCTGTGAACATATTGCATTCATTACATTTATAATGAAAAACAACTAGATTTTTTAAATCCTTCCTCTACTGAGATGATTGTCATTTATTTAGGAACTGTCAATGTTCAGAGTATATGTTAGGGAGGAGCTGGTCTCAAAGCATATTTAAATTTTACAGAGCAAAACAGATGAGCCATAGCTCTCCTATTGCTGACCCTACCTCAGTGGTACCTGTATCTCACCCTGATGATCGATCCACAAATCTAACATTACATCAAATAATTGTTCTAGAGGTGTAGGTCAGCTCCTTTCTTGGTGCTAATCAAACAATTAACAATTTTTATTGAGTATGTAAGTTCTGTGGAGAAATACAAATGAATAGGATTATATCTGCTCAAAAAGTTTAAAATCTTGCAAAGAAAAAATATCCATCATATAAGGAACAGAGAAGAATCTGCCATGCAAACATATTATGTACTGAGACAAGAAGTCAATGAAGGAATGCGTAGTTGGGGTTCATGGAAGAAAAAAGATGGCAGATTTGATCTTAAGATACGAACTGGGGGCATCTGGGTGGCTCAGTTGGTTGAACATCTGACTTCGGCTCAGGTCATGATCTCATAGTTCATGAGTTGGAGCCCACATCTGGATCTCTGCTGTCATTGCAGAGCCTGCTGCAGATCCTCTGTCTCCCTCTCTCTCTGCCCCTTCCCCACTCATGCGGGGTCGGTCTCTCTCTCTCTCTCTCTCTCAAAAATAAATAAATATTTTTTTAAAAAAACTTAAGAAAAAAAGATATGAACTCGATTTAGATATACAGTAGGAAGAGGATTATCTAAGACCAGTGGAAAGAATGCACAGAAATAAAAAACTGAGATAATGTGACTCATTATGAGTAGAGACGGGGGTGGGTGGAGGGAAAAGGAAGAGGTATAAAATAAGTAATCAAGAGGAGTAAAGTTCAAGGTGATATATATCCTAAAAAAACAGGCAAAGTTAATATTTTATAAAATAGGCAAAGGAGAGTTTTAACAAGCATTTGGTAGCACCGGCATGCAAGGTAGGATAAACTATGTACATGTCTTTGCTTCCTTTTGGCTTGCTTTCTTGACATGAAAAATAAAATAACAAACATTACTTCAATACCTCACTTCCAGACCCAGATTCTAGTGGTCTCTTCTTTCTTGGTCCAATGGCTGCAAGAGCTGTGAGGTTAGCATCTCTATGCTGTATCTGCGCAAGCTCCAACTGTTGTAACTAGAAGATGGAACAATAACGACAACAAAAAAGTCAATGTTTTCAGAGTCATGCTCAGAAGGAGGAAGAAATTGATCATTAAACCTATTTCTGTGTTCTTTACCAAATAAGTTACAGTATAAAATAAATGATAAATTCCCCTAACAGTCAAGAGCACATCATTTCCTAATGCCTTTACTCCAACAAACTCTTTAGTCCTGAATCTCTACACAATAAGAGGCAGAATTTAGGTAAGGAAGAAGTATAGAATAGAAGAAAAGCCAGGAAAAAAAAGGGCATCTAGTGCTTAATCTATCCTTAGTTTAATCACAGGTAAGAAATAGCTGAAGAATAAATTGAACAGTAAATTGGAGAGAAACTGGCCACACTATAGTCAACTTTTTCAAAATAAAAGTTACTTGAAAATAAAGACAGTTTTTGTAAATTATAGGAAAGAGTTCTATGCTGTATGGTTTACAAACTACTTCCTTAAAAATTTACTCATTTAACTCTTACAACTACATTAAAAAGTATAATATTAATTATAATAGGATATGAAAGTTATACATATGTACCATGTACCATCTTTTTTTTTTTTTTTTACTAAGGAAGACATGCCCTAAGAGCTTAGAAAAACTTCATAAAGGTTACATAAATAAATAAATAAGTGGTAGAAACAGAACTCAGAGCCAAGTGTTCTTATTACAAGCCCTTTCTATAGATCACACTTTCACATGGATTTACTCTATATTTATCTTCATGCTAAAAACTGAAAGTACTATTTTGCTGTAGAGTTTTTATCATAATTAACCCAGAATATCCAAATCTACAAGATATAATTATTTACTATGTGGGTACTCATGAAAGGTGCTCATGAAAGATGCCCCATTAAAAGACAGATAAATAAGACATTAGAACTGTAAAATAAATACATGAAACCATAGTATCATTTCACAAGGGCAGGTGAGTGTCAAATGGTATTTCAGAAAGAAAAGAAAGAAAAGAAAAGAAAAGAAAA